ACTTATTCTATCTATACTTTACGTTCTTTTATGCACCCTCCAGTGTTTCTGATGCACATACAACTCGTGTGTGGCTAGAAAAACTTGTCCACTATGCACTCATACTGTGGTCAGCATTTAATGAAGTTGTATATATGCAGGGACCATTACGATGTTTTCCTTATGGTTTTGTTATCCTCTCACCACATAATATCCAAAACTCACCGTGACGACTGAAAGTTAGGAAACAACAAATTGCTTGTCAAAAGTGATGACTTCATGTGACGCCAATTCTTCGAGGCAAAGGCATTTCAGTGCCTCTCCACTTGCCACACCCTCTTCCACAGCAATAGTCCACAAGTGCAAAATTTGAAATTGAGTTACCGAGACGCCCCCGCATGGACGACGCCCTTCACAGCATCTGCATTCGATGGGCTACCAACCGATAACAATAAGTGTGGGGAAAGAGTTCTATGTGTTAAAATAAACACCAGGGAGAAAATAAGACCTATGAGGTCATACCGGCCACTCCCACAGCTTCAATATAAGACCCATAGAAGTCACTCGTCGCGAATGTTAAAATGCCCTACCACCGAACACCTAACGATCATAACTGGTGTCTTACTGCACTTCCAACAGCACAACCTCACCACCCTTCAGGACTTCTGTCATGAATAACTCTCTCAAGCTTTCAGCTCTCACGCGAAACGTCAACATCTTCGTTGTCAACTCGCGATGAAGTTTCCGTACGCAAAAAACTTCCCATCAGCAGCAGATCTCGGTCAAGTAGCATCGCAAAGAATGCCAACGAGTCAAAGTCATAGTTGACACGCTTCCTCGTTGCGACTTACTTTCCTCACCTTTCCACTTATTTCATGTTATAGCACAATAATCTACATACGGGTAATGTTCACTGTGTAAGTTACATCAGTTTTATATATAAATCAAATCCAGTTTAGTGTATAATTTGTACACGTAAAACAACAACATAAACGCATAGTCCACATCAGGTCAGAGAGCTCAACGTATAAACTATTGAGTTGTAGCAATACTTAACAATAAAACGAACATCGGGTTAGAAAATCAATGAATCAGATTAGAATGAGACCATCAAAGACAATGCTATGCCACAAAATGAAATGGCAGATTTGAAGTTTTAAAACAACAGCAATAAGAGCTTTGGATTCACAACGACGTTACATTTATTACATATTACACTTCTTCCGGATATTTTAATTCACAATATAAGACACCAAATGATAAGCTCACACTTCTCTCCATTAAATTACATAACTGCACACGTTGTGCACCCCGCAGGATATTTGGTAACCGCTTTACCTAGGAAAAAAAAGTGGATGAGGCGAGATTTGGTGATATGGGATGGCAACCGACTGATAATCGAGTCATCGTGACGACATTGTTTGCTTATTACTATACATGTCGAGCATTTTCTTCTGCCTAAATGGAGCAAATAAGTACCAAAAGCAAATATTGGGCATGAGGTTTATCATGATCCAATGTTTAAAACCGTTGGTAGAATGAAATAAGTTAACAGAAGCTGCTTCCTTGACTTGATATTTTCCTTGACTTCCAAGTCCTAAGCGAAATGCAATATTAAAATGCTGATGTTATGAGTGACATTCACTTCGTTCGCTATGCTCATAACATATACTTTCTGAGCTGTGGCAACGGTTAAGTTAATGGCTCATTAAGTACCTCAATTCGCAAAACAAAATTCATATTTCACACTGCACAGAATGAACCCACACAAAGGTTCGAATGTTTGGGGTAATTCTAAGGTTTTCGTCGTCTCATCTTTCGGATAAAACACGATGTTAATACAATGGAGATGATGCGCAAACATGGCATAAAAACTATCGAAAAACTGGTGCCAGCCATGAAATGTTGCATACGAAGCATTTAATAACCTTGATAGCTAATGCTTACCACTTCATGGCGAGTTTAAAAGATGACAACGACGACATGTTATCACCATTTGTATTCAAATATCGAACATCGCGTAACGGATACCATCCCCTGCAGAAGAATCACGATATTACTACAAGGCAATTGAAAAGTTCTATTTAACACAATGACGACAATGCACGTTTTACAATTCTCTTTCCGCGAAATGGATTCTTCCGTTTTCTTTTTTTGACTTTACTGTTCCGTCCAGATTCTAAAAGCATCGTCCTCTTCTTTACTAATTATGAAAACAAATCTGATGAATAGATTTTGGCCCAGTAACTAACTTTATAGATAAAAAAATGCGGCTTATTTCATACAAAACATTCTCGTAGAAAATAAAACGAGTAAACATAAGCATAGTGGCGCACAGCACTGTAGTTGTGGTGCCAATCATCACCAACACGATGCTGGTTCGATCCCGCGCCAAGATCACCAAATCTCTCATCCCTCCGGGTTCGACAAATTGGTACCGGATTTATGCGCGAAAAAATCGCTCTGTACAGTCCAATTCGGAACGCTCCAACCCGGTTTTTTCAGGATTCCAGAGAGAATAGACTTGACCAGCATTCTACGACACTCGAGATGAAATGAAAAATCCTCAAGCAGCAGCCGAAGTCATATGTAAAAGTTGGAAGACCTTCGTGGATGACAGTTGCGAGGAAACGAATCGAAGAGTGGGAAGTGCTGAGATCTGCACAGTAGACGTGCAGACGGATAGTATAAAAATAAAGAAAAAATAAGCATTTATGGGAAATCCAGCATACCACTTGTTCTCGTTCTCAAAGAGATACACACAGATCTGAGAATCCTTCCTATGAGATGACATGCGGCATTCACTAACAAGTTCGCTCGGTAGACCACCGTCAACTCGAGCATCGACCGGATCTATCACCCTAAAGCATGTTGCTGTCTATGTGTGAGTTATAAGAACACATGAAGAACCTACCGCCCAGCAATTCCATCAACAACTACAAGGTCATTATGATGGTAACCGTCAAAATCACTCAGATCCTGCAACCACGTGATCAGTGCAGAACTCAACAATGTTCGACAGCGCTACTGCTAACTTCCAGCATGGGAACGCATAGAATATCAAAGCAATGTACAAACCTGTATGTCCATTTTAGCGTGATCGCCCAATCGGACTCTACGGTGGTTTGTTCGGCCGTCTTCCTCCTCGGCTGATGACTCAGATGATGCGATATCAGCAGGTAATGGACTTAAACATAGAGACTTGTTCTCATTGAATAACATCGCAATCTTAATATAGCAAGCGTGGTTATGATAATATCTGGGATATTCTCATTTATTATATGCTCAAGCTTCCTACCTCCATATTTTCGACAAAAACTCTGGTAAAAATAACCTTTTCACGGAATTGTCACGAAAGGCCATCAAGGGCGCGGTACCGTGTTGTCGTAGAGTCAATCTCCTCGCATTCGTCGATGAAGCAGAAAGGAATTTCGAGATCGGAGATTGCTGCGATGAGCTGTTAACTACAAATGACAATCACATCAGTCACAAAAATAGTGTCTTCAGTGAATATTCTGAAGGAAAGGGCTTTTGAAAGTGTATGAAAAAATTGGCTTCGTAATATGTTATAAGAGATGGTCAAAGAAGTGAAAATAATTTACCTTCACACTAGAATTTCTCCACTAAAACAGGGAAAAACACGTATAACACGTTAGCAAAAAAAAAAGCAACACCCCAACCCACTTGATGCTGCCTCTTTCTTTCGCCTCTTATGAATAGAGATACTCTCCGTAGGGCTAGTTTTCCGTTTCGACTTCTGCGTAACACCTATAAACCTTCTTAAATGCTGTAGTAATCGGCATGATGTGCAAATGAATTCAGCCATACCATTAATAGTAAATAATCCTCCAGCAGCGGTCTTAGGTGTTAGGAAAGAACCCAACCCCAGACCGCCCACTGCTTCCTTTTGCTTAGTAGTCGAATCTTTTGTCACGCGAATACGGTGGTTTCTAAGGAGAAATTCCGTTCAGAAACAAAACAAGTTCAAAGCAGTCGTTTAGGAACTTTAAGTCTGGGACCAAAATTTCCATTAATTAGTGGTACCTCTGAGTTTTCTCGACATCAGATTCCTGTTCACTTTCTTCTTTTACTACGTCTGTTTCTAGCACGTCATACAAACCTATACGCGATACTTCGTTTAGTAATGACTGCTCAGACCCACTTGACAGTAACTAAAAACAAAAACTGCGAATAAAGTTCGATGGTTTGCCACTTATGTTTCCAGTCTCACCTTTTCTAGGGATCGCTCTCTATCTTCTTCTTTATCTAAAAGTCCTAGGGCAATTCTCCGAAATTTTCGACCATAATGCAAAAAATAAGGATTTTCGTGGTTGAACTTCTCACAATTATCAGTCATTAGCAGGACATCTGTTCTCAATGACGCTATAGAATCTGAAAATATAGAAGTTGGAGAAAAAGTTTTCCCGACAAAAATAAATTCTGATTCAAAAGGTGAAAATAAGGACAACCTCACCATATTTACCCTTCTCCAATTTTTTTTTCATAGTAGAAATATCCATAGGATGTTTAATAAAATCTCGATATCCTTCCACTGTTACAGGTGAAGTAAACACCTACGAGATTAATGTAACAAAGATATGACAGACCACCAGAACGAGTACAAATACAAATCATACCTTTTCTTTATCCTTCTCTATAAAGTGATCGATGACTTCTTCCAGAACTACTGATGAAGGTTTGAGTACTACAGACAACAGCACTGCGGACACTTTTCGCTAGAAAAAGATAGACACATTTTGATGGCCGAAACGCATCTCTATGGCACGTGCAGAACAGCAGACATGGTAAAAACAAAAAACAACACAAACGACAACACAATAACATAATTTTGCACTCACATGACTCCTCTTATGGATCTCTCGCTTCTTAAGTTGTTCACAAAGTAACCTTGTAGTCTCGAGACTCACACGCCTCATTATAAACTGATCATAAATTTTCTGATCCTCTTGTGTTAGTTCAGAGGTGTGGAAGTTTGAAGTCCGAGACACTTTCTGACTAAGCTAAAGTGGCATCGTTAAGAACAAGTACCTTTCAGTGTGTGACTTAGGTGTCATTGAAGATCGAAATATATTCCATACCTGCAGTCTTCGTATAAGAGGAACACCACATCGGCTTTTCCTCTTAAGGTACCAGTACTGAGCTATGTCCTCGATGTCGAATCCAACCAAGTCCTTTATGGTCCCTATCGATTCCATAGAAAGTGTTGGCATACTAAATTATAAATAATACACTTGTTCCCAAAAAAGGCAATTGAAAGGAAACTAAAACCTTACTTCACAGTAGGGGTCTTGCAAGTCTTGGCTGTCATACTTCGTCGTGCACGACGAATCGCTTGATCCATTCTCTTCTTTCGAGCCACTGGGTCGGACTCATCATCGTCGGCATGCAGATGACAATATACAAAGCGCTAAAATACTGTATAAAGTCACCATTCTACTCTACAATTTCCGTAGCAAACTGATCACCTTTATACATCTATATTCAGATACAACAAAGTGCAAAGTATGAGACCATTTTCATAACAAAACAATGTGGAACCTGCTCCAAAGGCCGATCTTTCTTGCGCAAGAATAATATAAAGATTTAGCTTGACAAGAAATAGTACTAATCACTACGCTTTTACCAATCGCCTCTTTTAAACAGAACTAAAAAAGCTCAAAATAATATCTGGAGCTAAACACAAAAACTGCACAGAAGCTGCAACCAGATCTGGATTTATAATTGAGATCGATGCTGGTTAAAATACAGAGAACAAACTAGCCAATATTCGAAAAAGGTGACCTACTTGAACGTCCATCATTTCTGCATTATCAGGGTCGAAATTGTTCTCGATCTTCATCGTCATTCCTGACTGCTGCGCACATGTCACATGGAACGCTTTAAGACAACTACGAGTTGAACACTGGAGACACGCACCCATCTTTTTCCTAAATCGAGTTATACTGCTTAAGTTAAAATGAAACGATTTTCCACTGACGGTTGAAAGTTGAGTCTCGAACCAGAACACGTACTAGATACACAGCAACACATTTCGCTTACCGACATACTAAGCATTTCAACTTGCAGCGGCGTTCTAATGAAGCGTCAACACCTTCAATAGGCTCCAGAAAAACTAGATTACCGAAATGAACCTAAACAACTAACGTATCAAGAATTTTCAAAAACAGTAGTTCGAATTCAAAAAACCGACGTATGAACAAAAATGAAAAAAAGCATGGACCGAAGAAAAATGATACACGAAAATAAGCACCTCATTCAACCAAATGGCACATATGACGTGAGCCCATCTTCCATCACTCGTTTGCTTGAAGGCACCACTTGTATTCGGACACAAACAACACTCCACATGAGCAGACGGAGAAAGTTTGCACCGGCGACATAACCACTGTCCCTCTGGGATATAAGGCACGCCATAGCAATCCTACATAAAATAAATGAGGTAGTACTTCATGCGTATTTCCAAACACTAGAAGACAGTAGCACAACGTGGAGAACATGCCGACTACAGCTCTCAAACAAATAAAAAACATTTCAAAAAATCACTGAGTTATACAATAAGGCTTAAAAGAGTCCTGCTTAATAAACAAAGTCGACCTTGTCGAATAACTAAGCTGTTGTAGATGTGTAATGGTCGAAAAGACTGTGGTGAACACACCTGGTGAACAGCAATGTTGCACATATCGCAATAGATTATTTGGTTGACGTTGTTAACGTCTCCATCTCCACAAACACAACAGACATCGTCACCATCCATCGAGGATCCAGGCAGTATTGAAGAAGGCGATCCCTTAACCTGAACCAAGCTAACATAATTGAGCAGCTGAGTCTGATAATAGTTGTCCTAGTGTTTCCAACCAATAAAGCTTAGAATTTATGATTTTATAAATGAATTTATGGTACGGCTGTCCGAGAAATACTTCTTCTTGGAAAAAGGAGGAATGAAAGAATGTCCTGTACTCTCCCTGTTACGTTTGATCGTCGGCTAAATAACTGCAAGAACAGCCGTCCGCGAAGAAAAATCCAAGTACCAAAGCTGATCCATAAACGCTTACGCATGCATGTGGCAAGGATTCGAGAACGTCCTTGCATGGCAACCTCGAGATTCTATGGGAAATCCAAAAGTTCAGTAGTAATTCAATATGTCAACGGGATGGAAGACAAGTGACCTGAAGCCACGACCAACCCCGAACACAAACTTGACAGCCTTATAATTAAAGACGGCTGCAAGATAGATGAAGCGGGCCGTTCGACTATCTAATGAATAGCTTTTGAATCGATACTCTCAACACTCATGCAAACATATTGAAACCTTAGCATGCTGTACCTCAAAACGAATACCACTTTCAAAGGAACCTGTAACAGTGGGAAAATCTGATAAACCAAGTGGACTCCATGCTTACCTCAAAGTGACTTTCTTTTTCAAGACGGTCCATAACCTGTTCCATTTGCTCAGGTAATATGGGTTTACTTTTATTCTTTCTCCGCTCCTTATTTACATTCCTTATCCATATATGGTCCTAAATTCCAAAAATAAGCACAAGTCAACATAGGACAACGTCACTGATACATTCCCAGTTTTTATTCAGACACACTTATTCTTATACTTTTCTAATCGTTGCTACTGAAAATAACAATCATCCATCATCCTAACATGAAGGCAACTTTAGCGCGTTAGAAACAGCCACACTTCAGTACTACCTTCAGTGCTACCTCAGTACCTTTAAAACGCGTTCAGTTCACTTGCTAAAAACCACCGTAAGCTCATTTAAAGAATATATTAATGTTAATGTATGACATATAACACTTACAAGAACATATATAATAAGTAATACAAGTCATTTTTGAATGGAGAATTCAAAGACAGCTACTCTGAAAGAACTACAACAAAACTGATGAGAAAGCAATAGACCCACCTCCTCATCACAACCATACTCCACCATTCGATCATAGTCCGTCTTAGTCTTCTCGACAAACTGTATGTACTCCTCCGAGTAACTTCGTGTTGGAGCAGCACTTATATGAGAATCAACAAGTTTATATTCAGCACTAGGGGCCGAAACATCACTTGTCTTGAAATGCTGCAAAAGACTTCATAACTACAACGGATTAAATGCGTGGAAACGGTAGTGTTCTCAAAACTCTAAAGGTTTCTAGAGAATAAAGCTCTCAAAAACGTCCCGGTCACTAGGTGCGACTTCAACGACCCTCTCACAACGAACACTTAAGACGGATATTTTAACTAAGAAGAAAAAACAAGAACTAAATCCAATATCTGATGCCCAATCGAAAAACTCTGAGTACCAATAGAATTCCTAGTAGAAGTACATGGGGAAGACTAAGAGCCACAAACCTCCTTGTAGTACTTCGAAACGACGGCAGACTTTTGATCCGACGGCAGTTTCGAATCATCGGCATGGGAGAGATTACAGAACGAATTCACATTGACACGGTCACCGTTGCGAAGTTGGACGAACTTAACGCTATCCGAGGATGTCGCCATACCATTTAACGGCTTCCTTATCACATTGAGAGTGCAAAAATAGAGAAATTATTCTGAAATATACATTATCCAAACAAACTATGTTAATAGTGGGCAATCAAGGAAAGGAAAGTAAATTGGTATACGACAGGGTACCAAGAGAAAACTGCTCTGACTGAACAAAACAAAACACACAATGCTGAATCCGTCCGAAAACCCTAAAGGACCATCCCTCCAACACAATCAGCTTCAACACATTGAACTTAGCACCGATGACTTCCGACAACCCCATACATCCTAAGAAACGCCGTCATGGACTTATCGATTTGTGGGTGGCGTTTTCGTTAAAGGACCCAGATGCGTTACGCTCCGATGAGCGTCGTGGTGGATGCGAGCACACTATTATCCTGCCGGATGGATTGTAAAACTTAACGAGGGTTAACTGATTTAGGAAGTCTTTTTCAGCTTTTCATAATGTCATCAGAACTATGTGCTGAACTAAAGCTTTCGAAAGACCTCATAACCTATAAGAAGGGAAAGATGCTGATGATAGTGGACACTGGTGTTCACATGGTGTAGCGCCGTATAAGGCGTGGAAATCCGATGGAATGGTCAAATATTCATGGATGTGGTGGATTTGACAGGTCGTCTCATCGGAGCAGGTATGACTTCTAATCCAGTGAAAGGGAAGCGTCATTGAGATTGGACCGTTTTCCACTGCCGGTTAAGAATTTCTGAACTTGCCTTCCATCTGCTCAAACACACCAATGTGACTAATCATTTCCATCTAATCGATATATATTCTGTGTCTATGCATACAAGTAGGAGTGCGTGTAACGCATTGTTTGCAGGCGCCTTGCTATGCTTACATGGTCGTCGGTTCGATTACGAGCGTTGGGCTCGAGAAGCCTTCGATCACTCCAGTGTCGGTAAATCATTACCGCACTTGTGTGGAAATATACCAGCACTTACTTTATGCATCGGTAGGCCACCGTAAATCATTTGTAGGCCAGGTATGCATTCAATCACGTCTACCGATGCTTAATGAAGTCGAATGCATACGCGCATCCCTTAGGGATCGATCAAGGCCAAAGCTTTACTCTTCAACCCTCTTTGCAGAGAAAGCTGCACCTCAATACAGCCCATTCGAGACGCGAGAACGGAATCCATAGAAACAGAACTCTGCTGAAATCAATACTGCAATTTCCTATGCAGCTGAAGTCTCAAGACGTTAAAAGTTCTGTTGGTGCGAGTGTACAGAATTGTTACTGACAGTTGGCACTCAGTCGACACGAGACAGAAGGCAAAGCACAGTCTGAGTTCTTACGCTGGCCTTTTTCTAATCTGCCATCAAAGATCCATCTTAGTGCAACTACAAGAAATCTCCCATTCAACGCGCCTTTGTTATTTTCCGGATGACTTTCAAATGCTTTTAAATGGCCTACGTTTATCATATTCACAACAATACTGGTTTCCTGAAAACTACCGATAAATCTTCGATAGCTATAGCAATTGAAAAGATAAAAGACTGACGGAAGAGTATCACCTGCATCACCTGCAGTCCTTTTGATCGTCGAGTGACTCGAGTGGGCGCCAGTAAATCTTCCATTCTTCCCTGCCGCCTGTAAGAGTGACCCAGTGGGTTCAGCTCGCTCTAGAAACTTTGAGCATCATGTCTTTCTTCTAGGATTTTCGTGACCATCGAGTTGGTGGTCTTCCTGCAGCGTATTTAGCATCCCGAGGAATCCATTCATTAACGGCTATGGTCCATCGGTTGTTGTTCATACATGTTACGTGTCCGGGCCATTTTATCTTCAACAGTTTGGCGTAGAGAACGGCATCTTTGATCTTTAATCTTTGACGCAAGTCAGAGCTTTGGATCCCTTCCCTCACTTGTGTGACACGGGATACTTCTAGCATAGCCCTTTCGATTGCGCCTTCTATAATGCTGAGTGACCTTCCATTCTGCTTACGCAGCGTTCAAGTTTACGGCACATACGTTAAGGCAGAAAGAATCGTGGAGTCGGAAAGGTGGGCACGGAGTCGAGTATTCCCTGCTCTCCCCACCACAACCTCGATGATCTTGAAAGCTCTACCGGCATCTCGCTTCGCCTTGTTCAGCGGACAGCTACCGGGTAAAATAGCGTCTAATTTTTGGCCACATTCAATATGAGGTAACATAGTTATGCTGGGGATTGGTCACCGTGTTTCCCTCCTTGAACAAATAACCCAGTCTTTTTTCGAGCCCACCGCACTAAAATTTGGTTTTCCTGTGCGTATTTTTCCACTCATTTGTGTAGTTTCCCATGTTCTACGACTTTCAATGTTTTTCTTTGTATATTTATATGTTTTTGAAACATTTGGCACTGTTGATGTGGTGGGAAAACTCCCTACATCGTCCATCCACAATACGGTCAGCTTTGGTGATCGGTTTCATAGCATGATTCTAGGTATACTTTGGAATGAATTTTGTTGATTAGGTCACATGTTTTTGAAATCCACCCACATTTGAACACGACGGAATTGGAAACCTGCAATGTTCTTAAAGAAATACTGTGCAGAACATAGGTTTTTCTCTACCGACGTCNTTACGGCACATACGTTAAGGCAGAAAGAATCGTGGAGTCGGAAAGGTGGGCACGGAGTCGAGTATTCCCTGCTCTCCCCACCACAACCTCGATGATCTTGAAAGCTCTACCGGCATCTCGCTTCGCCTTGTTCAGCGGACAGCTACCGGGTAAAATAGCGTCTAATTTTTGGCCACATTCAATATGAGGTAACATAGTTATGCTGGGGATTGGTCACCGTGTTTCCCTCCTTGAACAAATAACCCAGTCTTTTTTCGAGCCCACCGCACTAAAATTTGGTTTTCCTGTGCGTATTTTTCCACTCATTTGTGTAGTTTCCCATGTTCTACGACTTTCAATGTTTTTCTTTGTATATTTATATGTTTTTGAAACATTTGGCACTGTTGATGTGGTGGGAAAACTCCCTACATCGTCCATCCACAATACGGTCAGCTTTGGTGATCGGTTTCATAGCATGATTCTAGGTATACTTTGGAATGAATTTTGTTGATTAGGTCACATGTTTTTGAAATCCACCCACATTTGAACACGACGGAATTGGAAACCTGCAATGTTCTTAAAGAAATACTGTGCAGAACATAGGTTTTTCTCTACCGACGTCTGATACAACATCTGGTAAGAAGCTATTAATTTGCTAAACACAGAAGTTGGCAAGAAAGATCGGTGCGAGAAAATAAACATCTGGATGAAGAACCAGTGGAGACCAACTCATTCTACCAGCTCCCGTCAGGCTGTAATTGTTAAAAGTAGAGATGATTACCTCTTAACGGTTTTACCGCTTCATTCACCTGCAAACAGGTTTTCGACGCATACGTTGAGACAGGAAGAATGGTTGAGTCGAGAAGGTGGGTATGGAGTCTGGTGTTCCTTCTTCTTTTCACTACTTCCTCGATGCTCTTGAGGAAACTCCAGGCCACTTCCTACTGGTCAACTCTGGAGTGAAGTCGTGTATTATGTGGATTTAGACGTAACTGGAGTATTCGGAGATATCTGCACAGTTGTTGTTGGAGATTCTTAAAACGTGAATCGAGTTAAAGAAGATCTGAGTTAGCGTTGACGGATGATTACTGATGGCAGTTAGGACAAAAAAATTAGCTGAGAAGTAGATAAGACAAGGGCCTCAGTAGTGCAATGGGTAACACTCTAGCTTCCGGCTAGAATAATCGCGAGTTCGAATTAGGGCCGTGGTCTACGTTTTACAAACATCTCAGTATCATTGTGGTTGTATCTCTCGTAACACCCTGTAGTAGGCAGGAAGTAAACAGTTAAACACTGTGATTTCGATGTTAACTTTTTGATTTGCTGCCTATTACAATTTTTCACGGCAGGGTATTATTTGTGATAAAACCACAGTGCGTGTTTTTGTTTCGTGTTTCAGAGCATGTTTTTGAAATAAGAGGAGTTTTCTCAGCACGGGTTCGTGGACCTCTCAGAAGTGTCTCGTAGTCGAAATTACAATCACAATGTTGCTGAGATGTTTG